TTATAAAAATGGACTAACAATTGGAAAAATGTAGTAGCAATTTGACTTAATGATAAATTGTATTCCTGACAAGGTCATTGTTCAACCATAGAACTTCAAATAATTTAAACAAGACTGCTGATATTCTTGTTTCATCAACTTGCTTGTCAATAATTTAGCTTGTTTTAGAAATTGTTATACGTATAGCATGCTCTTGCGTATCGAATCAACTGAGATATGTATATTCCAAATGCAGGTGATGAAGGCGTATTGTTGCATAAGTAAGGGAATTTGACGATAGAAAAGTTAAAGTTATCACGTTTATCATATAGCTTGGTTGTTAGATTACCATAGGTGTCTTTTTCAAGTAAAATTTCCAAGTATGAACAGAAGTGTCGGACTCTGTGATATCTTTTATCTCAAGCTCACCAGGATATATCGTATTGAGTAGGAATGGAAATTACCATTATTTATTGACAAAACATCGTCGATATATCTAAATGTCGAGTTGAAGGCCACAGCATGTTTTTTTTTTTCTTTGAAAGTAAATTTGCCGTATTTTTTTTGAGTTTTCTTGATAGAATTGCAGAAATGCTAAAAGAAAAAAAAATACTCTAGAATATTCAAAATCCTTAAAAATTTAAGACAATTTATTTACATCAATTAAATATTTTCGGTACGATGTTACGTTTGATTTACAGTGCCAACAGAATTCTAGATCTGAGATTCTATAGAAGAGTTAGGAAATCTTTGAATATTTCTTTAAAAAATGCAATGTAATTTCAACTACCAATCAATCGCCAAATGAAATTGTTAAAAACAAATTATTTGTCTTCTTACCCCAATCGTAAAGTCCGGCAAAGGTCTGGGATATAATTGTTTATGTAAGGTGATACCCTAATTAAGTGCTCTAGATGTCATTTAGAATTGAAGGAAGGTACACTTGTTATATATATTGTGTTTCAGATAGAGAGAATCTATATGTTTTGATATTCTGATAAACACAGGTCTTAAAGTGCCAGATTTTTTTTTTATTGTGTCGAACTCATAAAAAATGAATCATTACTGTGTAGGAGGAAATTGAATTGTGTCTTTATAAAGTTCGAGCTTGATCTTCATTATAGTAACATCTATTAATTTAAAAAATAGATGCACTTATTTTATGAGGAAAACTTTGTTGCTGCTATTTGAGTTGGGTTAGCTCCGCCTCGAATAAATTAGATCGGGGATCGGGATATCTCAAATTCTCCCTCTTTGCCCTTGATCGAAAAACGAAAGGTACACGAATTTTGTAGCAGACAGAAATTTAAAAAAAAATATGCTTTCAATCACGATTGTTTCTAAAATATTTCATAAGATATTATCGGCAAATATCTGATTTGATGATTAGATGCATGGATGGATTATTCTTTTTAGGAAAAGTGCGAGATTGGCTTGGATTGAAATTTTCCGAAATTTTTTATGTCGCATACGTGGCGTAATTCGTATTAAAACTGTTCATGTTTTAGTTTTACAAGCAAACATATACCAGATTTTTTAATTGTGTATTTGAATTATTTTTAAATCGTGCATTAATTGAAAAAAAAATCCTATATAAAAAAGGTGGCTTAATAATAGATACATGTAGTTTTCGATTGACCAAGAGTTACTTCCCGTTGGCCGCCATACTGGGGGTCCAAATGCTCATATCCCTTCATTGTTCAACCAATTTAAAATTTTTATATTTGCTATTTTGAATTAGAAATCATTATTTTTCTGAAGTATATAAATTTTAAATTTTTGGAAGCCTCTTTTATTAAAAAAAAAATTATTTGATAAAGATTTTCCAACAAATATTTCTGCTATATTTTCTTAAACTTGGTAAGACAAAGAGGGAAAATCACTTAGTCGACCTCCAATATGGCGGCCAGCGGGAGGTGACTTTCACTAAATTCAGGCCTATCGAAAACTATCTATAGCAGTCAAACTGATCAAAACATTATAATCGGTGTCCATCAATTTTCGCAGGCTATTGAAATAGAGCATTCTCAGTGTATACAACAACGGGATTTTTAAAATGTGCATGAATTTTGTTTAAAACACAAATGGGGGGAGGGGGGGGGGGGCTCAGAAGCCAAGTTATTAGAGTTCCAGCTTTGATGATTAACAGGGAAACATCAAATATTATAAGTTACATGGGTAATGTTGACCATAAATCAGGCTATATGTTATTATCATTCAATAGAAGCTTCTTTCATATTTGGCTGTAATAATGCCCTCCACAGTAAACAACACAATCAACCAACAGGACAAGCCATTGCTTTATTTCGAGCTTAAAATGCACTCTTGAAATTAAATTCAGTGCTTCTAGAGTGTGAAATAACTAATTGCCACTAAGGTTCCTTTTGGCAATTGCATAAATTTCATCAAATTTATTGCCTATCAAAGGTAGCTCAGTTGCTCATGAAGAGCTATGCTAGTTATTTTTCTTTGTTTATATTAGTCATACAATAAATTTTACAGTATAAGCTGACTCGAGGGTATTCGCTTTAGCATTTTAGGGACATTTTATTCTTGTTCACGCATTCTTCACTTCTAAGGAATTGATAATTTTATTTATCTGGGGTTTGGGAAAATTAGGGAATTAGATTTGTAAATTAAGGAAAATGACAAATTGTTTCTCAATTCATGATAAAGAATACAATATGCTGTATTATATAACCAGTTGCTTAAATTACTAATTCTCTTCTTTTAGCTATGGTAAGTATGTAGGTATTCTGTGTGACCCAGAAATAAGTAACAACTGGATCATGTAATATCAATTATTCTAATTCGTTCAACTACTGTCAAGGTTAACTAAATAAAAGCCGCTTTAAATAAAAGGGATTTGACAATTAACAAAATATACTGGTAAAAAATGTTGCGCCGTAATACTTGTGTTTACTTGAACGTGTGTCTGCCTTTTTACACATATCCGAATTTTAAGTTTATCAGTGGATTGCCTGTTTTTAGCTAAAACATTTCTTTACTTAAGTAGTTTTACTTAAAATAATTCATATAAGATATTCTTGATAATTTTATTTTATTGGTTAGAGCTTAAAGTTCATGGAATATTTACATCAGATGAGAATACTAAAACACTTGTTGAAAATATTCTGAAATTAACTTTGGACATACAAATTCATATCACATAAATAGGGGAGAAACATGCAATTTGTTCAGTTGGAGAATGAAAGGGAATTTTATTGCTAGACAATTAGTGTCCGACTCTTAGGTTGGAAATAATGAATTCTTTGGGAAAAGTATAAATTGGATAGGGTGTTGAGTAGAAGAGTGTATTATGCACTTGCTAGGGAGAGCTGCTATGGGGCTATCATGACACAGGAATATAACAGATTTGGGAGTATCTACATGTATTAGTAAGATTTATTTTTGCCAGATCCAGTGTACGAAGGTTTTCTAGTCAAGTACACATAAATATAAACTAATAGTACATGTAGTATGGGTATTTTTATGACTTAACCAAGCAGGCATTTCAACGTTGAATTTTGGTTGCATATGAAAGTTGAGGCAACGTTGAAACATAACGTTGTTTCAACGTCAATTTTCAAGGTTGAATAAACGTTGAAAATTGGTTGAATTTTTGGTTGATTTATGGTTGATTTTTGGTTGCAAATGAAAGTTGATGTAACGTTGAAGCTTCAACGTTGTTTCAACGTCAAATATCAACATTTAACAAAAGTGAACATTGGTTGATATTAGGTTGAGATTTGGTTGAAATTTTTCGGTTGTACAAACGTTGATATTTGGTTGAAATCAAGTTGAATTCATATTACATGTGAACGTTTTACTTTATAAATAAATACATTTCAAATTCTAATAATTTTTTTATTCAAATTGCGCAATATTTATATAAGTTATTATCCAGTATTATGATTGTGAGAGAATTCATTTTAGTTTGTATTTTAAAGACAAACACAAATTTGGATTCAATCAATGAATCTCAAAAATCACTGCTTGACAAATTTATATTCCTAGTGAAAAGGGGGTCACAGTTATCACATCAAGGTTCTTCAAAGTACGCGTCTGTCTTACACTACTAAGTTTCACAAAGTGGCGGATCCATTGATTTTAATCACGCATATACATCTGTAGTTAAGTCCCACGAATGAAAGAAATGAACAGGAGAATCCACCCTCTAGAGCAACAGCCTATTAATAAAAGAAATAAAGATGTGAAAGAAATTTCTTCGATACAACGTACGTAACACGTTATTTCAAACGATAAAAATAAATATACATGAATAATTTAAAAAATCAGACAAAGGAATATTTTCCGGTACTTGGATTTAATTAACATGATTAAAAAGAATTATAGTTAACATCATATTAAGATTTGTATCAGTATGCTTATAAAAAAATATTACTAAAGAAAATGTTATAGACATACATAGACATAGTGTACTTACAAAATATTGCATTCCTTTGTATAATTTTCACGGGCGAAGAATCTGATGCAATCAAGGCTGACTATATACAATCACTTCCCTCACCACTGGTTGATTGAACCATACGATGAACTAAAATTAATTAAATTGTATAATATATTAGTATACTTTTATTTCATAACCAAATGAATATCAACAATACACATAATACACGAACAAAGGATGTGCATTTCACGTATATTCACATATACTTATAAAACAAGAATTAAATGATGTACAGATACTAAATAAACTTAATTTCCTAAATCCATGAAAAGGAAATAATACTTACTGAGCAGAAGTTGATATTCCAGCCTTATTCCTTTTGTATATATCTTGAAAACACATTAAATATGAACAGCGCGCACTTCTTGCCCATCAGTTGAATTCAAATTTTGACCTAGATAAGCTGCAGCTCTACTCTGCCCAGCAAGAAAATTGCATAACAAGGTTATCCTGACACTGAAACTGACCAACTAAGCGAGAGGCACTCCTTATCTGATATCTCGAAGGTTTTTGGGGAGTGGATCTTAAGTAAAGTTAATTGTCAGTGTGAAAATTGTTATGTGTTTATTTGAATTTTTCTTTTATATATTTTCTGAAAAGAAAGATTATAGAATTAATACACACAACAAAAGCACAATCTGATAAAATATGACTTCTTAGATTCGCTCTGTATAACATTTTGCGCAAGAGTATACGGCACGGATCTATATGACTTTAATTTTAAGAACATTAATTCGGAATAAATAATTATTTTTATTAATTCTAAAGTAACATGGAATTACTGTGAGATGTTGGATAAAGATGTCATTATTTATTTAATGCTTATATTTAACATATTTTATAAATATGTATTTTAAAAAAAACTACATTCACAATTTATTAAATTTCACAATGGTACTAGCTGAACTGGCACAACTCTTTTGAGTCAATCAATTCATAATGCATGTGTGTCATTTATTATGTATAATTATATATATAATATTTTCTAACAATGCATACAGCCATGTGTATCTTGCGAAAAGTCGCATAAATTAAGAGTTAAAGACACCTTTATATTTTGACCTTAAAAACTAAAATGCTCAATACTCATTACCCGTTCTTTTCTTAACTTTCCTAAAGTTGAAAATATGTTGGATCTTCCACGTTGTTTCAACGTTGAAATCAACAAACAGTCAAATTTGCATTTTTAAACCTTGTATCAATTCTATAATATCAGAAAATACTCAACGTTGAAAACATGTTGAATCTTCAACGTTGTTTCAACATTGCAATATCAATAAACTTCAAAAATTGAGAATTTGTTGCAGCTTCAACGTTGTTTCAACGTTGAATATGACAAGCATTCAACGTTAAAAGTATGTTGCAGCTTCAACGTTGTTTCAACGTTGAAATATCAACGAACATCAAAAGTTGAATATATGTTGCAGCTTCAACGTTGTTTCAACGTTGAAATATCGACGAACATTAAACGTTGAAAATATGTTGCAGCTTCAACGTTGTTTCAACGTTGAAATATCGACGAACATTCAACGTTGAAAATATGTTGCAGCTTCAACGTTGTTTCAACGTTTAAAAAAGGTTGAGGATTCAACGTTGAAACCTCAACGTTGAAACAACGTTGAAATATAGTTGATCAACGTTGCAACCTATATTCCACCTCCTTTCAACATTGAAGCAACGTTGCGTGCCTGCTGGGAAGGTATAATTTCAGTTCAGTATTTTCACAAGAAGCCAATTATTGATAAGCCAGAAGGCAATTATTGGTTTTGGATTTGATTTCATTAGCACCACCTGTTTTAATATACAAAGATCAGGCCAATTAAGGTGATGTATTTAACAATGGCAATATTCTTTTGTCTTAAGTATTGTGATCAGACATCTTAACCTGATAAGCATGATATAAGCTCATATATTTCATTCAAGATACATAATAGTGAGTAAATTTTATTGCATTGATTATCCTGTATTTAACAAAACAGTGGAAAAACCCTAGGTATAAGATCCCTGTGTAGAAACATTAATAAATAAACCCATTGGAATTTTACCAGCAGCCTCAGTCAGGGAATAAATGTAGGAAAATACAAAACTATTGTTATTAATGAATTAGAAATTAAAGCATTTGTCAAATTTTTCCACTAATTATTTTAGATTCATGCCATTTAAACATATCATTAATTTAGAATCAACAGGCAAAATTCTATTTGTCAGCCAAAGGCTTATATGTATGACAAAAGTTAAAATGATACAGATTAATTGAACAGTACTTTTAGGTGGTAACTGGTTCAGTGTATAATGGATTAAACCTTTATTAACAAGAAAGTGCTTCCTTCTGATCACACTTTCAATTTGGTGAATTAAGAAAATTTTTAATTTGTTTTATTCTCCATACCTTTTAGGAAAGTGATATACAGTACGGTTTAATTGTAATTTAGGAATAATGCACTGTCAGACAAGGTCAACACAATAATTTTATTTTTTTTTAACTACAGGGATAATTAAAATACATGTCATGTAATCATGTATTCTTGCAAGCCAGTTTGATAGGGGAAAGGGGTTTTGCTCTATGTATTAGCCATTTATTATTAATATTTGTCCTGTTTCTGTTACATTTCTAGGTAGTGAAGTTAATCTATTATTTTAATAGATATAGATCTGTAATTGTCATTAAGTCAGCTTTTAAAAAGTGATATATTCCTGGTGCATATAATTAATAGCCATTCTCTGTAAGCATTTAAACTCTTATATAGGGAGTGTGGCACGCATGGTCTTGGATTTTCATGAAACTTGGCATACATTCCTATATTGATGTATGTACCTAAAATTCATAATAAAATGGTTGCTATGGTCCATGTTTACCATGACAACCAACATACATTTTTCATGGCCTAAAAATCGTTAAATTTTGATGAAAATGACCCTTTTTGACTTATTAAAAGTCTTTAATGGAATAAGCTATTAACATGACTTTACCTTTTTGCCAAAAAACATCATTTTACAGTGCTTTAGAAAATTTTAGGTATTTCAGTAACTTTTTCCTCATAGATTTTGAAATGGATAAAATCAAATTTAGATATATGGTAAACAATAGCAAAAACAAAGCGAAAAAAAAATCAATTTTCATGACTAAGGGTCAAGGTCAAGGTCAAAATGGCAGATTTTGATAGATATTTAAGAAAGCTAAACAACATTTTTTCTGTGTCATAACTAATACTTGCGTTTTAAACAACAAATGAAGAAACAAAATTACAGTTCTGGTCAACAATAACTAGCATCATATGAATGTGTGCCCAGATGGACAGAAGGTCAAAGTTCAAGGTCACAATGGTATATAAAGAACTATGCACGCTACCTCTCAGTTCCCGCCTACATTTTGCGACCATTTTACTCAATATTAATGGCAATTTTTGTTTAATACAAAAAACAGTTCAATGGTATTTGATTCATTATTTTAATACCAGTGCTAAATAGTACATTATCCCTTATTCCAACTCTTGAAATGAGGGGGTGGGGGTGGGGGGAGGAACCGATGATATTTTCCATTGAAATCGGACTTTCAAGCATCACCATATTTTGAAAAAATCTTGGATGTAATTAAATGTTATGTAGATTTTTTCTCATGTTTTACTGTTACGGTTTTTCCCCCACAACCAAAATAAGCCCCACATTGGATCAGCCCAATTTATGTCCTGTATAATTAATATTTATGTCATAAATGTATTTCTAGATATCATGGGAATATTACCAATCATTGTATGTTATTTATGTATGCTTTATAATTCATTATTTATATTCATTTCACAAATATTATTTGTTTCACTGTAAAAACCCGAATTTCCTCCAGGGATCGTAATAACCAATGGCTGTCTGGCATCGGTAGTCTACTAAGTTACTCATATCTAACCCAGCATCGTTTCCAAAACAAATTCCAAACAACTACTTACCCATTTTCCCGCCACCATAAGGCTTAAAATCCTTTACTTATATAATCAGTGCAAAGTCGAACTTCACAGTTATGGCGCCAAAGCAAACGGTACCGTTTGTTATTCGCTCGAGAAGTTATTCGCACCATTATACAAAAAGGTATATAAAGAGGGGTTTTTGTACAGACAAGACAGTTGTGTCCACAGCTCATCCCTGACCAGACCGTCTGATATGACTGATAATCTGCCCCAACGAATGGTAAATATATCCAACGTTTGTATTTAATATTTTGTTAACTTGTACTATAATTGGGTAAGAATCTGATGCCATTCACATTGGGTAAAACGATCTATGGGTGACCCAATCCGATATATATATATATATTTCCTAACCCAACCATAATCAGCTGAACAGTTTGTCCCATTGTTGATATTGTGGAACCCTATCAGCTGGCCCATATATTTCCTAACCCAACCATAATCAGCTGAACAGATTGTCCCATTGTTGATATTGTGGAACCCTATCAGCTGACCCATATATATATCCTGACCCAACCGTAATCAGCTGAGCAGATTATCCCATTGTTGATATTGTGGAACCCTATCAGCTGACCCATATATATATCCTGACCCATTATCCGTAAGTATACTCTGTTTGTATTTTATAAATCATAAATCATTATTGTCATTGTTTGAATAAATTCATTTTTATAGATAAACAAATCTTGTTGATTAATCGAGGTAAATCTCAGGAATAAGAGGACCCACATAATTATTGTAACACCCAAGATCGGGTCACGTTACAATTTGGTGTCAGAAGTGGGATATCCATTTGCTTATTTCTGTTTACCAAAATTTTTGTATTATAAAGACAAAATAATTTTTAAATTTTTGTATATTTTTATTGATCCAATCAATTTTTGTATCCGATATTCACAATGGAGACTGAAGATAGTTTTGAAGTCACTTTTAAATCACGTCCTGCTTCACCCAGTGCTAAGGCGGACAGTAGGGATAAATTACCCACTCCCAATCTCCAATCTTCTCCAATGGCATCAGATTCAGTACCGCCTGCAAAGAACAATCAATTGGACACATTAGTGTCTATGGTGCAAAGTGTTAACCAACAGTTGTTGGGTATGAGACATGAGTATCATGAATTAAGAGACCATGTTAATCATTTAGAAAGAAAATTTGAAAACCCAACCTATGACAGGGGGGATAATCATCACTCAGACAGTGTCTCAAAATCCAGACCCATTCACCCAGTACACTCTTATGATGATTTCCATCCCAATATTCATACAGACCCAACAAAAGGGCAAAGGGAATATACACGTCACCCAGCAACAATGTTGGGTACCCATTATGCTCCCTCATTCGAAATAAACAGAAATGAAAATGGTATGCCACTCCCGTCTGCAGCCAAAACTCATGTTACTATAAAACCTCAAACTTTCGATGGATTAGAGGACTTTGACGAGTACCTCGCTCAGTTTGAAATTTTAGTCGATTTGCATGGGTGGGATTACAAAACTAAATCTCTATACCTAGCTAGTAGTCTGACAGGGAGTGCCCGGGCTCTATTAAACGAGTTAAACGAAAATCAGAGAAGGGATTTTAATGCTCTTGTGAAAATTTTGACTAGGAGATATGGCTCCATCGAGAGATCAGAAATGTTCCGGGCCCAACTTAAAACCAAATCTAGGGGAACCAATGAGTCCTTACCCGAATTGGCCCAATCCATAAAAAAACTGACTCGTCAGGCTTACCCAACAGCCGACCCAACCATTATCAGCATTCTGGCACTCGACCAATTTATTGATGCCCTACCCGATCCAGAAATGCGATTAAGGTTAAGGGAAGCTAAGCCCAAAGATATAAACGAAGCCGAAATTTTGGCT